TTGAAAAAGAGTTTTGGAAAATATTTTTCCTTTTCTTGATAGGGAAAACATTTTCCTCCAATTGGGGAAAAACGAATTCATAAAGAAAATATTTTTCAAACATTTAAACCAACAAAACATGGGAAAATTAGAAAATATTTTTCAGAACATGGGTCAAGGTAGAACTCTAAGATTAAGCATTTCCGTAGGTCAAGGTTGGGCATCATCATGGGTCCATTTGGGCTGATGATTTTTGATCGGTTAACTTAGGCTAGCCCATTTTCAAAATCCTTCTAGCCCAAACCCATTAAAACTTGGTCGGGTTGGGCGGGTCAAATGAGTTTGGGTTAATTTTGCCACCCCTAGATTGTACACTCTGTGGCCAATTTTCTCAATTTCAGTATACATTAATGAATCTCGTGGAAAGTACTGGTCTCTTGTTATTGGTGAACATTACAATGTAATGGTGTGTCTCTTCTTTTTTCTTATATGCACGTTTAAAGAAGATTGCAAGGAGAAACTCTTATTCTTATTGGTTAAAATGAAGAATGTGAAATATATTAAGGAAATTTCACTTTACAAGTTCCCCAGTTTTGTTCTTTTTGTGTACTAGTTAACCAAAAAACCTTGATATGATTGAATCTTAATGTCACATGTAAAACCGAAATGTTCTAAAACAATATCGAATCAGAATGCACATTATTCTTCTTTGCTGATTGTGTAGTAACTGAGTGGGAAATAGTGGTGTTAAATAATTCTGCTATGTTTTCTCTCAGGCTGATGCAGATAAAGATGGAAGGCTTACTCTAAAAGAGATGATTGATAGCCCATACGTGTTCTATAGTGCAATATTTAACGAGGATGACGAAGACTATGAATACCATGATGAGTTTCGTTAGTTCAGGGCTAGGTAAGGATGGCCTTTCTACTTTCTAACCCTTAAAGTTGTTAGGCAACACCCACTTTTAGTTATTTAAATTATGCCTTCAACAAGCCCTCTCACGTGCGGGCTTGAATTTTTTTCATGAGTCGAGCACATAGAAATTTCTTTTTGATGATAGATGGTGGTGAGACCGCTATCTGTTTTGTGATACCATGTTGAAGTGTGTGATCACCTCATCTAAAAGCTTAAAGTGTTAAGAGTAAGCCTACTTTTATATATTTAAATTATGTCTTCAACACTTTGAATCTGCATTTTTCATTTGTGCTGCAATGACTGTTCTTTTCCATTGTCATAGATCTATAGATTCTACTGATATATTTAACTTCTTGTCTTGCATTCACGAATGGAACTGCTGAAGCAATCTGACGGTCTAATTGTCAATTAGTTCTTCTAAATCATTTGAAATTTTTTATTTGATGTGTTTTGCTAGGATGAATATTTTACATAACCAGTGAAGTTGGGTATGCTGACTTGATTTAGATTCTTTTTTCCTTTTGGTACACTGGGGTCACTAAGGGCAAACTGAAAGTTGTAGAAATGTTGGGAGTGCAATTCTCAGTTTTTCTCGACTCTTGGGGTGTATCACCAAGTGACTGAAATATGACCAGTGTCTTTGAAAGGGAAAACTAAAGACTGTAAAATAAAGTACAGTAGTTGCATTATCTGTTTTTGTCCAGGATTTTGCCTTTTCAGTATATCAATCAACAGCCACAATGTGCAATTTCATTCCGACATACAGTTTCATCTGTTTACACTGACATCAATATTTCCTTTAACCCAATTGAGGGAGTGGTAATTCTGGATCATATGACTTGGACATCTCGAGAAACTTGTTGCTTTTTCTTTCTGCTTATTTACGTGCAAATATTTGCATTACTTTCTTAGTGGACTTTCTTTTTGGGTTTGCAGGATGGCTCATGCTCTCAAGTTACTCGTGTATGATTTTTTTTAGTTTGGAAATTTTTATGCGAGTCTCACCAAAAGATACATGTGGTGAGACATCAAAATTTTATTTATCAGATAGTTTTCTTTGTAATCGCCTTGATCAACCATTTTCGACAATATAATGCTAGTTCAGGATCTTCCATTATTTTGTAGAGGAATTCTAGTGGGACAAACTTTACATGCACAACATTTGTTTTAGCCATCCAATTTCTGTATTTTCAGTCTCCGAATTGTTTTCAATTCTAAACATAATTATTTTTAATCCTACCTTCGAAGTTGCGTGCCATCTTGTTGTTCAGTCTGGCACGTTCCTGTCATTTTCAACTGACCCAAGTGATATGGCGTGTTGATACGAGTAAATTTACTATTCAGGTAACGGATATTTGTTCTTGATACGAGTAAGCTTACTGTTAAAGAAACGGATTTTTGTTTTTGATTGGAAGTTAAGTTTCCAATAAATTTATTGTCAAGAAAATAAACTCAACAATTTTTTCAGGCTTCACAAAAAATGAACAAGAGAATCAACTAGGTCTTGTTTCAAGTAGTTATTATTTTAAGCTGGGGCTTGTAATTGGATAACCTTTGTACAGGCATGGTACTCTCAAGTGTTAAATAGGTATTACTTGTACGTACAAAAAATTGTGAAATAGATAACTTAGATTGTAGTAATTGCACCTAAGTGTGGTCTAGTGGTCTATAAAAGAAAATATGAGATTTTAGGTTTAAATTTCAGCGAAAGCAAAAAACATTAGATGATTTCTTTCCATCGAGCATTGTGTAGTTATTCGGTTGTGGTGGTACAACAAGTGTCCGGTGAAATAGTCGAGGAGTTGACAAGCTAAATCGGATGCTATCATCATTAAAAAAAAGAAGAAGAAAGAGAGATTAACTGAAGTTAACCATACCGCTTAGTTGTTATCATTAGCCTACAATAATAATTAGTAGCGGGTACTTGGTGAAATCGTAGAGGTGCGCGCAAATTGGTTAGAACACAATCGTATTGAAAAGAAAGATTATAATTGAAGTTCACCTTACCGCTTAGTTGTTATCATTAGACTCCATTAATAACTGTCATTTCATATTGGTGCTTCCTTGAGTTCAAGCACTAGAGTTATTGGATGTGGAAAAAATTAGCACTAACGCACACTGTCTAGTGGATAATCCTTAAAAAAAAACTCTGTTTAATTAAAGCTCAGTGTGAAACCATGTCTATTCAGATAATCTGAATGTTCCTCTTTTCTTATTGGTTATTTCATTTCACAACGAACTGATGTGTTTATAATTGAGGGACATTTTGAGCAGTTTCAACACAATCCACCTGTGTTTTTAATTACAGCTATCGTATCCTCCATCATTGGACGATAATAGTGTGCAAGGAAAAGCCAAAAACATATTCAATTAGAGACTCAGCTCTATATCAAAAATGAGTTTAAGTTCTACGCACAAAGGAAATTTATATATATACCCAGTTTTGGATTATCATTAAAGTTATATTCGCATAACGTATTGCACAAAACTTTACAAGTTTATCCGTTTTAGGATCAGTTTCAGACTTAGCGAGTTTGAAGTTGGAAAAATTCAGACCTGAAATTGCAAATTTTAGATGCACTTAAAGACTGTTTTAGTCTTAAGTGCAACTACTTTTTCCATTCACTTAAGACTTTTTTAGTGTGAAATGCAAAAAATGCATTTAAGATGCACTTAAGACTTAATTGGTCTGCAGTGCAGCTAATTTTTGCATGCACTTAACATTTTAGTCTGAAGTGCAAATTGACCAGAAACAGAAATTTGTTTTTCGAATTTCAACAATTCAACACACGATTCAACACCCAAATCTACTCAAAAATGAGCTCAAAACTAAAATATAACTTTCAAATATCATAAAGAACCAACTCCAATTATCAATTTGTCAAAACAAATTTACGGCTAAGAGGAAGAAGAAAAGACACCCAGCAGTAGCAAAGAGAGGAGCGCTACATTACCTCACTACTGTAAAACACTATAAACCACCTTCAAACCTAGTCGCAAACACCATGTAAATCCACCGTCACCTTCATTTTCACAACAATTAAGAATAAAGGTCTGAAGTTAAACTTCTTTTAAAAATCGTGTACAAGTTAAATGGGGGCGACCAAATAGCGTGTCCCATGAAATTTTTATTACGCATAGATCGTGTAAAATATTAACACAATCAGGTCATTTATTAGGCAATTACAAGTAAATTTCAAATAATTACTACTCCCTCCGTTTCAATTTAGATGGGGTACTTTGACTCGGTACGAAATTTAAGAAAAAAAAAGACTTTTGAAACTTGTGATCTTAAAAGCTTAAGGGGTAAAAGCTTTATGTGGCCATGACATTTATGTGGTTATAAAAACTTCTCATTAAGGGTAAAATGGATTATATAAAGAGTTTAAAATTGAATTATTTTCAATTATAGAAATGTATCATTCTTTTTTAAACGAACTAATAAGAAAAGTATATCACCTAAATTGAAACAAATGGAGTAATTGATAGTTAGGTGAAACTTATAACTAACATACTATCACATGTTTAATTCATTACTAGCATAAAAGAATT